CAAAAAAAAAAAAAAATTCAATTTGCAGCAAACATTATTCAAGGAGTTATATCATCCATAATAATACAATTGCAACTGAAGATGATGACGTGTGTTTTCGAAAATGTGTACGATTAATATAAAAATAAACAATTAGGTTGATTTGGTCTCACTCCACCAGGCACCCATATATATATGCAATTAATTAATTTCTTGCACTTGACAAATCCACATAAAATACATTAACTAATGAATTAAAACGATACACTAATTATAAACTATCATTCTTTTCTTCGTTACGAACACGTAACAAACTCGTTTCTAATTAACATTCCAAGCTCAAAGCCACGTTAAACAATAATTTCGAATTTAATTTAAAATTATAATGAAAATTATTGATAGAATGATAGCCCGTAATTTGAAGTTTATAAACGATTTACATATCTCGTTTTATGTTCATGTCCATATGTGCGGGAAAGCCGAATAATAAAAGAAAAGCAAATATGTAAAATATCACTGGTTCACAAGAAATGTAACCTATATTGACAATGTTATGTTAATCAATATTCAATTATTGAGGGTTTTTTATTTATTTATTAAATTTCTTTGGATATTATATAACGATGACTGTTGTTACCGCTGTAAGATCCTTTACTTGTAATCTAGAAAACAATATTCGTTCAATAGAGCAACGTGGTCTCCTCTTATATATTTTATTTTAGGTACACAGTTATCCATTTTGATCAATAATAATATATAAATTATGATTTATATGCAGAGTGTCCTTTGAGTTATAATTATATGCTTTTAAACTGTAATTAATTCTATAATCTATATATATATATATATTAAAGAAGAAACCAAAGGTAATGAGGTGGCACCTTCTAATGCTTAGAACCCCTCCTATCTTTTTTCTCATTTTTTTGATTTTTTTAAATGTTAAATATGTTAAAGACTTTTTTGCCCCTTGATGAAAAATGTATAGCTCATAATTAACCCGGGTTATTTTTGTAATTTTGTATACCCAAGTTTAACCTCCAACTCTTCATTTGCTCTTCCATTTACTTTCTTTTATTTCTTAATGAAATTTGTTTTTTAAAGTTTCAATAATAAACAAAATGAAATCATATAAAATCCTTTGGTGAGGGATGAAGAATATGAGAGTTGAAGAAGAATTCAAAGATTTTAAAAGGTATGTAGAAATTATATTCATTAAAAAAATGTGATTTGTTATTACATGTTTCTTTTTCAATATTGTTGGATGTGTTGTTATCATAGGATATGATTGTGTTTACGATTGGATTATATAAATTGTGTTTACGACTTGATCATATAAATTCGAATAAAATTTTGATATTTTATAATCACGGGATATGATAAACTTTTTTCGAATTTAAGCTTCATTAACAACAACTATTTATTCATCTTCATCTCTCACACCCTCTCAAATTCTATCTCTATCTTATACATCTCTAAATTTATTTTCTTTCTCTTTGGTTTTTCTTCTATTTTACTATTGATAAT